GGAAGTCATCTAGCTTTCACATGAGGCCCTGTACTGTCACTTCATTGGGAGAAGTACGTTGGTTCTTTCTTCCAGGTGTCCTGGGCATCTGGTGAGAGCAGCTTACTCTATAATTCCTGTAATTTCCCTTACTCATATTTCACTGCTACTCATATTTCAGCATTTCCCCTTCTACCTGCACTTCATCTCAATTCACAGCAGGTAAGAGTCTTAGTAATAGCTGGGTGCTGGTGGCTCACACCAGCAATCCTAGCTACTCAGGAGGCAGAGAGCAGGAGTATTTTGGTTTGAAGCCAGCTGGGGCAAATAGTTCATGAGACCCTATCTAGATAATACCCAACACAAAAAAGGGCTGGTGGAGTGGCTCAAGTGTTAGAGCGCCTGCCTAGCAAGTGTGAGGCCCTGAGTTCAAACCCTAGTAGTGAAAAAAAAAAAAGAAGTCTTAGTAATGACAATGTCATTGCATCCTGGGAATTGTCACCCTTTAGGTACTAGAGCAAGAGTGGTGACTCTGTGACTGGAAAGGTTGTGTGGTTCCACAAGGAGCTAAAAATATACGATGGAGAAATAGCAGCCTCTTCAACAAAAACTGCTGGGAAAACTGGTTAGCAGTCTGCAAAAACTGAAACTAGATCCATGTATATCACCCTATACCAAGATTAACTCAAAATGGATCAAGGATCTTAATATCAGACCCCAAACTCTAAAGTTGATACAGGAAAGAGTAGGAAATACTCTGGAGTTAGTAGGTATAGGTAAGCACTTTCTCAATGAAACCCCAGCAGCACAGCAACTAAGAGATAGCATAGATAAATGGGACCTCATAAAACTAAAAAGCTTTTGCTCATCAAAAGAAATGGTCTCTAAACCGAAGAGAACACCCACAGAGTGGGAGAAAATATTTGCCAGCTACACATCAGACAAAGGACTGATAACCAGAATATATAGGGAACTTAAAAAACTAAATTCTCCCAAAACTAATGAACCAATAAAGAAATGGGCAAGTGAACTAAACAGAACTTCCTCAAAAGAAGAAATTCAAATGGCCAAAAAACACATGAGAAAATGCTCAGCATCTCTAGCAATAAAGGAAATGCAAATGAAAACCACACTAAGATTCCACCTCACCCCTGTTAGAATAGCCATCATCAGCAACACCACAAACAACAGGTGTTGGCGAGGATGCGGGGAAAAAGGAACCCTCTTACACTGTTGGTGGGAATGTAAACTAGTACAACCACTTTGGAAAAAAATTTGGAGGCTACTTAAAAAGCTAACATTGATCTACCATTTGATCCAGCAATACCACTCTTGGGGATATACCCAAAAGACTGTGACACAGGTTACTCCAGAGGCACCTGCACACCCATGTTTATTGCGCACTATTCACAATAGCCAAGTTATGGAAACAGCCAAGATGCCCCACCACTGACGAATGGATCAAGAAAATGTGGTATCTATGCACAATGGAATTTTATGCAGCCATGAAGAAGAACGAAATGTTATCATTCGCTGGTAAATGGATGGAATTGGAGAACATCATTCTGAGTGAGGTTAGCCTGGCCCAAAAGACCAAAAATCGTATGTTCTCCCTCATATGTGGACATTAGATCAAGGGCAAACACAACAAGGGGATTGGACTTTGAGCACATGATAAAAGTGAGAGCACACAAGGGAGGGGTGAGGATAGGTAAGACACCTAAAAAACTAGCTAGCATTTGTTGCCCTTAATGCAGAGAAACTAAAGCAGATACCTTAAAGGCAACTGAGGCCAATAGGAAAAGGGGACCAGGAACTAGAGAAAAGGTTAGATCAAAAAGAATTAATCTAGAAAGCAACACACACGCACAGGAAATTAATGTGAGTTAACTCCCTGTATAGCTATCCTTATCTCAACCAGCAAAAACCCTTGTTCCTTCCTATTATTGCTTATACTCTCTCTTCAACAAAATTAGAGATAAGGGCAAAATAGTTTCTGCTGGGTATTGAGGGGGTGGGGGGGAGAAGGAGGGGGCGGAGTGGGTGGTAAGGGAGGGGGTGGGGGCAGGGGGGAGAAATGACCCAAGCCTTGTATGCACATATGAATAATAATAATAAAAAAAGTGTGGTTCCAAGATCCCATGCTGAGGGTTGGATTCCTATAGTCACTTCCAGTTGGGTTGTCATGAAAGTAGAACCCAAGCCAGGCATGGTGGCCACATCTGAAATCTCAGCACTTAGAGACTGAGGCAGGAGGGTTGCTAGTTCCGCTCCATAGCAAGACCCTACTGAAAGAAAGAGGGGGTGAAAGTAGAGGGAGAAAGAGAAAGGAAGGAAAGAAGGAAGGAGGGATGGAAGGAAGGAAGAAAAGAAAAGAAAGAAAGAATAGAAAGAAAGATGGGTTGGCAGCATGGCTCAAGTGGTAGAGAGCCTGCCCCGCCCCCCCCCAAAAAAAAGAAAGAAAGAAAGTAGAGCCCAAGACAAAGACCTACCTATTGGATGCAGATTTTTATTTTGGAAGTGATCCTGGAAATGAGACAGAACAAAGCAGATGCTGCAGTCTGAATGCTGTTGACCTTCCCTCATCCCACATTCATACTGAGCAGGGTAGAGTAGGTGAAATGGGCCAGGAATGGGTTTGGTAATTATGGCAAAGGCTCCCACGTACATAGTAGTTACTAGAGTACATAAGCATATGCATCTTTCTCCTGTTTTCCTGCACCAAGCTATAAAGATATTACACACACTACCCTCATTTTTTTCCTTTTAATTCTTTTTTTCCTTTGGTATGACTGGGGTGTGAACTCAGAGGTTTGCTCTTGCAAAGCAGGCACTCAACCACTTGAGCTATGCCTCCAGTTCTGGAGGACTCCTGCCTGTTAGGAATGTATATGTTTTCACAAGAGAAGGGCAAAGAGTTGGTAAGGTGACTCAAGTGGTGGAGTGACTATCCAGCAAGTGGGAGTCCCTGAGTTCAAACACAGGTATGGCCAAAAAAAAATAAGAAGAAAGAGACACAGCAGAGGTGGGCCTCTGCTCCTCTCTACCAATAAACTTGGCCAATCTCTTATCTTGACTCACCCTTGAAATTCTTTTCTGTGACTATGCCACAAACCCAGTACCCAAGTTGAGGTCTTCCCACTCTGGGGACCTTATTGGCCACCTGGGTTCCAATGACAATATATTGGAACCTAATATCCAATGTGATAGTATTAAGAGGTAAGGTGTTTAGACAGTAACTAGGTTATGAGTGGGATCCTTATTTTTTTTTTTAATTTTTAATTTTTGTGTGTGTGTCGTACTGGGGTTTGAAATCAGGGCCTCACACTTGCTAAGCAGGTGCTCTCTACTGCTTGGACCACTCCACCAGCCTGGATTGGGACCCGTATAATAGAGATCTGAGCTGGGCGTTATGGCTCACACCTGTAATCCTAGCTACTCTAGGAGGCAGAGATCAGGAGGATTGCAGTTCAAAACCAGCCCAGGCAAATAGTTGGCGAGACAGTATCTCAAAAAAATTCATCGTAAAAAAAGGGCTAGTGGAGTGGCTCAAGGTGTAGGCCCTGAGTTCAAGCCCCAGTACTGAAAAAAAAAAAAAAAAGAGGTCTGAGAAGCCTGTTTCTTTTCCACCATGTGAAGGCATTCCTATAAGATATTATCTATATCAAATCAAATCCACCAGTGGCCTCAATCTTGGACTTCTCAGCCTCCAGAAGTGTGAGCAGTAAATTCCTATTGTTTATAAATTATCCAGTCAAAGGTATTTTTGCTATAGCAGCTGAAAGACTAAATAAGACAAGAGAAAGGAGGAAACCCCAATATCACGGTGCGTTATTACGGTCACTCCTTGACCTATATGACATCTCCCAGAGGCTTGAACACTCATCCAATGGTTGGATCTCCCTCTCACATGGGTGTCTCCAGGTTACAAATACCCATCTCACCCCCACTTCTCTTTTGGAGGGGTACTGGGGTTTGAACTCAGGGCCTCACACTTAGTAGACATGTGCTCTACCACTTGAGCCACTCCACCAGCCCTGTTTTGTGATGTTTTTTTTTTTTTGAGATAGGGTCTCTAGAAGTATTTACTCAGACTGGTTTTGAACCTTGAGCCTCCTGATCTCTGTCTCCTGAGTAGCTAGGATTACCGGGGTGAGCCACTGGCACCCTGCTCTCCCCTACTCTTTTTTTTGGTGGTGGTACAAAAAAACCCAAAATCCAGTCTCATTTGGGGCTTTGTTTAGTGTTTAAAAAGGACATGTCATGTGTCAACTGGCTCCTCGATCACCATAAAGTAGAGTAAAGATGAAAAAGGACTGGATTTATCCCTTTGCAGCAAGAGGAACTGCTCTGGGGCTCACTCCCCGTCAAGAATACTTTTAATTGATCATTCGAGGCTAGGGGGACATCTTTCAGCCCTGGGGGCTAATTCAGACAAGTCTTCCAACAGATATGTGAAGAAAATCTCAAAAATAAAGATAGGGCCTGGCACAGCACCTCACATCTATAATTCTAGGTACTCAGGAGAGGGACTGAGATCAGTAGGATCAAGGTTCCAGGCCAGCTGGGCAAAATAGTTCATGAGACTCCATCTCAATGGAAAAAAAGCTGGGCATGGTGGTGTGTGCCTGTCTTGCCAGCTACATAGGAAGCATAAATAGGAGGATCTCGGTCCAAGCTGGCCTGGGCAAAAAGTGATACCTTATCTCCAAAATAACAAGAGCAAAAAGGGCTGGAGCATCGCTCAAGCAGTAGAGCACCAGCCTAAAAAGTGCAAAGACCTGAGTTTAAAACCTAACCCTCTCCTACTTCCCCCTGCAATATCTTCTCTATGTCTGTTAGCTT